TAAACTAAAAATCTGCTGCATAATTGTAAATCAAATGAAGGTAGAAGAAGCAGCCGCCGCATTTGCCGTGCCTGTAACACAATCAAAGGACGAAAAGGACGCGGAAATTGATTGCCATTGGCCAGAAGGAACTCCACTCGAGACCCCAGGCAAAATGTCATAATCATAAAAATTGCAATTATGCTGATGTGAGTGGAGCAATCTGGAACAACACATTTCCAGTTCATTAGCCTGCCACGCCCACAGCCGAACAGCCGTTTACAGCCTCTGCACGCACGCAGTTGGCAAGCGATTTGTCGTGCTCTAAAAATAATACAAATTATGCAGACAACTGGAGACGATAAAGTCATTAGCCAACGTCATAGGCCAACTAGACTAACGGTCCCATATACACATACATAAATATGTATGTGTGTGTGTGTACATTTGTATGTATATGGAACAAGGATAATAACTTGAGCTGCTCGAGTTCAGCGACTTCAATTCGAAACTTTACAGCACTGTAAAATGATGAGACCAAATGTGGCACACAAAATGCGATTTATGAGATTATCTAAATGAGGCAAGAATATGGGCTATAAATTGAGAGCTGATTTAATGCACATATATACAAAATACATACATATATGCAGAATTATTATTATTTGTTTACTATAAATAATGCCATAAATATAATTACATTTATTTATTTTATTATTTTAATATTTGGCTTGTTTAATTTTTTAGTTTGAGCTATTCAAGCAGTTATCGGCATTGCTTTCAAGCAGTGTGCGTTAGTCGTTCAAGCAGGAGGAGAAGTGAGGTGAGAATGCTTAGCTTGGAGGGGAAATGTGTTGAGATTTCAAAGCAGTTCAAGCCGTCTCCTGTTTATAACAAGCAGTAGAAAGTGGTTTCTACAAATTCTAGTTGGAATAAGTTAGAAATAACCTGAAGTCATAATAGATGGAATGCAATCCAAGAAATCTGAAATATGTATATATAAGTAATAAACAAATAAATGTATGAATAAAAATAAATTATTATTATTTTGACTATGATATTAACTTGAATATCTCTTTTATATTATATTTTTTATATTGTTATGCACCATTTATATTTAATCAACACTTATTCTTCTTATATACAGATCTAATAGATAATTATGAAGCTTGAATATTGAAAAAATATATTAAATCCGTTTTGCCAACATTGAATTCTTATTATTAACACAGTAGAAGCACATATCCGATACTTTTTAAACACAATATTAGTTGTTCTCTATATTTGTATATACTCAAATGTATTTTCTGTTTAGGTTTAGTTAAGTGTAGTCTCATTTAATGAAACTAAATTTACAATTAGAATTTTCCTTATTAGATTATTAACTGCAAATTGCAAATTAGATTTTTCGAACTTTTTGATGAATGTTAGGCCAAGCAGCTGAATTGCTTATTCACCACTTACCCATAAACATGTCCCCTCACGCGTGACACAGTTAGCCCTTTCTTCCCCTCTCTCTGTCTGTCTGTCTTCCATCCACCCACCAGTTGGTTGCTCTCGTTGGATGCGTTTTGCTAAGAGGCAAACCGAATGCAGCTTCGTGCACGACTTCGTGCCAATAGCCGAGGTTCGTATTGGCACTTCGTGTCCCGGTTGGCGCTGTGTGCAAAATCTGTGCAAAGGACACGAAGCGAACGCGACTCGGCAAACAGAACGCGAGCTCTTGGCTCAGTTTTCATTGCGTTGCCTTTGCGTGAGGATTGTTTTGCGTGCGAGCGCTACGACGCCGTTAGATTTTTTGCTAGAGAACAGCAGCAAAAAGCCAAAAGCGAAAAGCGAAAAACGAATCCCGAAAACAAAAACAAGAAAACGAAGCAACAAACTGCAGCTAACAATTACGCGAATTGAAACATACGTTGCTACGCAGTGCTGCAGTGTGTGTATGTGTGTGTATGTGTGAGTTAGTTAGCTAGTGTCTTGTATGTGTGTCCGTGTGTGTGACTCTCTCTGTGTGTTTTTGTTTGTGTGAATTTGTGTATGCACATATTTGCAATTTCCCGCAGCGAGTCGTGTGCAGATTTTTGTGTTTTTGACATTGCACCTGAGCGGGCAGAGCAGCGGCAGCAGCAGAAGCAGCAGCAGCAACAGCAGCAGCAACAGCAACAGAATCAAGAAACACAACGAACCGGCGATCGACCTAACGGCACCTTTTTGCATTTTGCTGCCATCACTTGGCTAAGCGTGTGTGTGTGTATGTGTGCGCGGCGCTGTTGCTTCACAGCTCTGCGTGTGTGTGTGAGTGGCTGCGTGTGTTTGCCTGTGCATGACGTGCAGTCACGTGTTCTAAGGTGATTTTAACGAGTTCCGTGATACGCGAAATAAGATAAGCAACAGCGAATAAAAGTCACCAGCAACGACAAACGACGCAAAAAATATATATAAATAAAAACAAGAAGTGAAAGAGGAAAATAAACCGGAAAAAATAAAAAAAAAGTTATAAGTAAATATACAAAAAACAACAACTACTACAGTTACCCACTCCGCGACGCACGCACTCACATATGCTCTGTCTCATTCTAACGCAGTTAAATGCAAATCAGCAACAAATTGCATTAGATTTGTTTACCTGAGCAAAACGAAATATCCAAACAAAATTAACTTCAAATATTCACGGAAAATGGTGTAAAGAAAGTTAGCTAAATATATTGAGGCAAAAGCTCATGAATAAAATATTTACTCGCAACTAAAACATATTGCTAATTGCATTTATTTGGACATAGTAAAGGTGAGCGAGAAAACAATACAATAAATAATAAGACTTTGGCCTAGAATTACTTGTAGTACCTAGATACACTATAGGAATAGGAACATAGAATAGTTTTAAGAATTCGAATTTATGCCGTGTCACATTCTAATTCGATTGGTAACAAGTGGAATTTCCCTAATGACATTTTTATTTGATTCTA